AGTAGCTGGAACTACAGGCGTGTGCTACCACGCCCAGCTAATTTTTTATTTATTGCAGAGACAAGGTCTCGCCAAGTTGCCCGGGCTGGTCTCGAACCCACAGGTTCAGGCAATCCTCTCACTTCGGCCTCCCAAAGTGCTGGGATTATAGGCTTGAGCCACCATGCCCGGCCTGTAATTTGTTAACAGACTAGAAAATCTAAGGCAAAGGCACACATCTTTGAAAATAAAACTGTACACTTGGATAAGAAAAGACATTTGGGGAATAGGGAACACTGGGCAAAACACTTCAAGGTTTGAGCACCCCCCCACCTTTGTGTCCTTGAGAGCTGGAGTACACTGAGGGCTCAGGGGATGGGTCAGCTGGTGCCCTGCCTCCTTGTCCCAGGGCTTGCTGGGCTCCCAGCCCTGAAAACATCAACCCTGAGGTACAATTCCAAAATCCCTAGGTGTTCTGTAAGGTGTATCCATTAACAGTCTAGGCACTGGCACTCAGTGGGTGCTTGGGCTATCAGGGAGTGAAGTAAGCATGGAGAGATCAGCCCTCAAGAGCACCTGTCCAGCACTACCTGAGAAGCACATTGGAGAGCGCAGAAGGGCACTCCCTAATGGGGGTCCCCTCCCCCTGCCCAGTGACTGAAATACCATGGCACCAGTCACCAGACTGGGAGCAATGGATGGCAGGTAAGGCTCCTGGTTCCTTCCTCTGGTCTCCTGGGCCTGTCCAGGGACAGCTCAGAGACCTTAGATGCAACATCTGAGGAACATGGCTCCTGACCCTGGCTGCTCTGGCCATGGGTGGGAATGGGAAAGGAAATCCCCACCATTCTATTCTGCTCCAAGTCTAGGTAGAGCCCCGGGGCCTATGGCCCTTAGCCTGGTACCCGGGATGCCAGCCATACACTCACCTAAAGGCCTTATAGATGGGTCGGTACCAACAAAGGAAGGCACAGGGAGTGAAGATGAGAAACCACAGGATGGAAAGGCCAAAGTCCACGCCCTTGGAGCCATCGCCTGAGAACCAGGCCATGCAGGCCAGCAGGTTCAGAAACAGAGTCACTGAATGCACTGAGGAGGAGAGAGGAGAGTTACTCTTGTGTCAAGGTGGCTGAAGGTCCCCAACATGGCAAGTCACTCCCTGGAAGAGGCGAGGTCCATGCTGTGAGGACAGCTGTAGAAACGGAGGACCTGGGACTGTACCTACGCAGGGTGCTCCCAAATCCTGGTCTTCTAGGACCTCAAAACCAGGGATCAAACTAACTTCCTCAGAGGTGACAGGACAGTCCAGGTGATTAGAGGTGGGAGCGGAGGGGGCTGCAGACAGCAGGCTTATCCATGGGGAATGAAGTCTTTCTCTTAGCAACTCTATTCTCTGGTCCTGGATGGCCCGCAGTGGAGCTGCAGGGAGTCTTTTTCTCTACCCCTCAGAGTCCAGGGGCCTGTGGGGAGGAGAGGCCTGCACCTGAGGAGGGCCTTTTAAGGAAATGAGCTCTGCAGGGACTTGGAAGTCTCTGGCTAGTCCCGCTGACCTGATCTATGGTCTGGACTGCCCCTTCAAGGAGGTTCCCAGTGGGCAGAGGGCACCCCCTCATGCCAGCCTAGGCACTGAGGAAAGCTAGAGTTTGCAGAAGGCCCAGACACACACCCACATTCCCTTGAGCTCAGAGGGCAGAGCGGGACTCACACATCCAGAGATAGTAGAGCATCTTGCATATCCGCTGGTAGTCAGCAGGGATCTCTGTGGAGAAGTCCTGATAGAAGCAGGGCTTGACAGGGCACCACGAGGGCAGGGGCGGCCAGTTGTTCTCTCTCACTGCATAGCAAGAAGAAAGAGTAATGGGTGAGCACAGCACTGGGAGTGCACCCGCTGGCAAAACTGTGGGCCAAGCCACATCTTACAGAGGGGTTCCAGCAAGTGGACCAGGGTCCTGCATGGAGCACAGGGTAGGGTGGAAAAGGATGAAGAGGCTGGGCCTGGTGGCTCATGCCTGTAATCCCAGCAGCACTTTGGGAGGTGGAGGCAAGAGGATTGCCTGAACTCAGGGGTTTGAGACCAGTGTGAGCAACATGGCAAGATCTTGTCTCTACAATAAATCAAAAAATTAGCCAGGTGTGGTGTTGCATGCCTGTGGGATCAGCTGCTTGAAAGGCTGAGGTGAAAAGATCACCTGAGCCCAGCAGGTCAAGGTTGTGGTGGCCTTGAGCGTGCCACTGCACTCCAGCCTGGCGACAGAGTGAGACTCTGACACACAAAAAATAAATGCACTGGGAAATACAGAGAGTTAAATGGTCTAGGTGATTATTTTTATTAACAACCAGCCCATTAAGTGTGACAACTTAGGCTGGGTACAGTGGCTCACGCCTGTAATCCCAGCACTTTGGGAGGCCGAGGTGAGAGGACTACCTGAGCCCATGGGTTCAAGACCAGCCTGAGTAACTTGGTGAGACCTCGTCACTACAATAAATCAAAAGTTTAGCTGGGCATGGTGGCACACACCTGTAATTTCAGCTACTTGGAAGGCTCAGGCAGAAAGATCGCCAGATCCCAGCAGGTCGAGGCTGCAGTGGCTGTAAGCATGTCACTGCACTCCAGCCTGGGCAGCAGAATGAGACTCCAACTCAAAACAAAAAATGTGTGACAACTTGGGACATCACCATGAACAAGGAATTGTGGGACCAGCATCCCAATCAAAGAATAAAAGAATGTTAGAGCTGGGAAGGAGGCAGGAAAAGTTCTGTCCATCAGAACCACACTGCAGGTTTCCTGACTGCAATGTCCTGCTCTACCCAGGACCGGCCCCTTCTGGGATGATCCAGAGACCTCCAAAGCTCCCAGGCTGCGCGGGAAGGCATTGGCTCAGGCTGAGTGCCAGGAAGGCCCTTGCATAGGGCTCAGGACCCCCTTCTAGCCAGACAGGGCGGTCAAGTCCCCAGCACCTCCCTCACCGTGTAAGTTAGCCACCGTGTTCTGCAGCTCCCGCTCCTTGCGCTCCAACTCGGCCGCTTTCCTATCCAGTTCTTCCTGCTGTCGGAGCAGACCTGCCTGGGCAGCAGACACCAGGACCTGGAGAGGACAGGGGAGGCAGGGGGCACATAGGAACACTGTCAGTCTGGGCAGGTAGGGAATGTCAGCAGGGAGGCCCAGAGGCAGTCCCAGTCCCACAGAGTGACCCGGGCACCAGGCCCACCGTAGAGAGGCCAAGGTGACATGCCTCCACTGCCCCAACCTCATCCCTAAGCCTGAGACAGGAGAACTGTTCCCAGTGGCTTCTCCTCCTCTCCCCCCATACTGGAGTTAAGGCAGAATTGAGTGACAGTGGCCTCTGGGGATAACAGCAAAGGGGAAAAGCAAGAGATGACCCTGTAGCCAGAAACCTAGAGCCCCAAGTTCCACCTGGAGAACCTGAGGGTATATGTGAGATGGAGAAACCAGCTACGAGTGAGTGGAGTCAGGAGACACAAGAGGGCAGACTATATGTGGCCGAGCTGCCCCAGGTCCCCTGAACTTATGCTATACCCAGGACACCCCCATGGGTGTGGCCCTACTGTGCCTGACTCACGGGGTACAAAGTCCATGCCTGTCTCCTCTCCAGGCAGAGCAGAACCTCTGATGGAGGAGTGGGGGGACTGTGTGTGAGGCTAGGCAGGCCTGGCCTGGACCCCGTGCCTGCGGGCTGCTGTGGCTGCTTAGGCTAGGTCTTTCCTGAAGGAGGAGACCTCAGGCTCCTTTAGGGAGTAGATATCAAACTGGTCATTTAGGCCGGGAGCACTGGCTCATGTCTATAATTCCAGCATTTTGGGAAGTGGAGGCTAGAGGATTCCTGAGACCACGGCTTCAAGATCAACCTGGGCAACATGGCGAGACTTCATCTCTATAATAAATTAAAAAATTAGCTGAGTGTGGTGGTGCGTGCCTGTAGTTCCAGCTACTTGGAAGGCTGGGGCGGAAGGATCACCTGAACCCAGCAGGTCAAGGCTGGGGTGGCTGTGAGTGTGCCAATGAACGCCAGCCTAGGCAACAAGAGTGAGACTCTGACTCAAAAAAACCCCCAGCCGGGCTCAGTGGCTCAGCTTGTAATCCCGCGCCTTTAGGAGGCTGAGGTGAGTGGATTGCCTGACCCGTGGGTTTGAGACCCACCTGGGCAACAAGACCTCATCTCTACAATGAATCAAAAAATCAGCCGGGCGTGGTAGCACATGCCTGTAATTCCAGCTACTTGGAAGGCTGAGGCG